CCCCTCCTGTTTTGTGTGCTTTTACTGATTTTTATATGTAGTTGTTTTTATTTATTTATTTATTTATTTTAATTGTTGTACGCCGCCCAGAGTCACCTTGTGTGAGATGGGCGGCTATATAAATATGCTAAATAAATAAATCAGGGATACTTTAATTTAGATTCCTGCAATGGTGAGATTGGCCTTCCAGTGCTATGATTCTATACAATGGCGTAAAAATTGCACACACACACACACACATTTTAGATATTAGTGTCATAGCTGTATGCATTTCTGTATAGACTTTTCAATATGCATAATTAATTTTTACTAATGTTATGCTATTGGCAAACAGTGTTGCAAAATTTGAATTTGATGGTTGCCTGCTGATTCAAAAACACAAGAACTTAGATAAACTCACATTCTGATACCAACTAAGGGAATTTCTTCCCCCTCCTTATAGACTCTTGCAACAATATGCATTATGTTATTTATTCATTTTCTTTATACAGCACCTTTCCATCATCCAGGTGGTGATTATAGTACAGGAGCAGCCTTGTACGCCTTCATCTTGCAACTCTGTGGCAAAGGAGAAATATAGCAATCATTGTGGAAAGGACCCAGCAGCACACCTTAATTCCCCTTCAATGCTACTTCTTTCACAGGATTTCTACATCCTCATGTCAGCATGAGGTGGCCCCACACAGGATGGGCAACTTACAACAAAAGAATTAAGCCTTGTTGTGGAAAGAAGTTGGGAGGCTAACAGTCAACAGTTGAAAGAAATGAAACATATGAGTTCATTATTTATCCCCCATTTTTCAGAGGAGGAAACTGAAGCAAAGGGCAAAGAGATGATGGACAAGGCTACCTATGGAATCACTTAAACAGGTGTTTAAGAAGTCTCCAGGAGAGGTTGTTTTGCTGTGGAGGTGAAGAACAGGGGTTGCTCCTTCTCTGTTTCGCATGGAGAACAGAGCTGAGAGTCGGGTCTTATTTCAAGATCAGCCATGGGGAAATGTTCTCTTCACATGAAGACAACTGGCTAATTGAACAGAGTGCAGAGCAAGCAACAGGGCTCCTCCCCTTGAGAGATGAGGTGAAGAGATGCTGCCTAGGGAACAGTCAGATAAGAGAGGACATAACCCACAGTTGCATAAAGGAGGGTGGAAAAGGCTCAAAACGGGCCCTCCTTAACTTCTCAGGCTGTAAAGGAGACGGCAGGAGACTTCTACTTGCAGACTTGCAAGATTCTGTTAATGTAGCCTTACAATAAAGTAGAATTAACTCATCTGTCCAGGTTCCTGACTGGTTCACTTGGGAAGGCTGACACTGAGGCAGCTGCCTCACTCTACCTAATGGTGGGGCTGGCCAGGGCAGCCTCTTTCTCTCTCTCCTGTTCTTTTGGTAGGGCACTCTGTGTTATCTGAAAGCAGGGAAACTGGTTTCAAAAATGCAGGACGGAAAAAGGAAATTTGCCTCAGGAAAGCATACATCCTCTAGATTTCTTCAAAAGTGTTTGCTGAGCCTCTTTGGTTAGACTGAGAACGATCTGTGCTGCCCATTCCTGGCACCAAAGCTGTGTTCATTCAGGCAAAATCCTCGGATGGGGCCTTGCTTCCAGAGTAACAGGCTGTGATGCTCATTTCCTGTGTGAGTGAGATAGGAGGGAGGAAAAATACCAGCAAATCTGTGAGTAGCCTACAAACTCACATTCCTGGAAAGGCTGCACCTCACATCCAAGTTGGAGGGACTGAAGAGAAAGATCTCTTTATTGCAACGTCATCAGAATCATTTTTGGTTTCTAATAAGGTAAGCAATAGATTGACCTGTTCTCCAAAAATAATTTTTGTTAGCAGCAGCTTAGCTTGTATTTTAGGAAAAAAAACAGATTTCATTTGGATTAAGAAGCAGTACTTCCTCTTCCTTCAAGTGTCCTGAAGCAAACATGTTTTCTACCTCATCATTAATAATAATAATTATTATTATAATAATTCAGGAGAAATTATGGTTCTTCTCCATCCAGCTTGCAGAAAAGCAAATATTTTGTTTGTCTGTTTAAATAGCATTGAAGGCAGTTTGAGAAGGGAATGGCTGCATCCCTCACTGTACATCCATCCTGCTTTCACCTGTTAAAAATATGTCAAGGTTGTTCTTGTTTTTTAAAAAAAATCTGGAAAAATTTTTTAACTGATGGTAACAAGGAGTAAAATAATAACTGTATAACATGGAAAGCGAAGCCACTTTTGAGGTACTTGTTTCTTTTGAACAACTGATTCTTTATAGCCTAAGTTTTGACAGTTGATAGTATATGCCAAGCTTTTAGATATATCACATTCTCCCTTGCCTTTGCACTTCTTCTGACTTGAAGGAAGAGTTCCATGGAACACAAAAGCCAGCCAGCTCTCAGCACACATCTGGTCTAATAAAAACCCATCCTTCGAATCATTTTAAGATATTGCCTATTGTTAGGCCAATGTGATAGCTGTGTCCTCAGTGATACCTTTAGTTAAAAGATCTGAGAAAACAGGAACAGAAAAAAGCTCAAAAGAGAACTTCATCTATCTCGAGTGCTAAGAAGGACACTGAGCTTTCCTTAAGACAGAGTGGGAAAAGCCATCTGTAGCATTTGCTATGCATTAGGGTCTAGGAGCAACTCCTGTTACTTCCACCTAAAGCAATTTCATCAGTCTGGAGCACTCCAGATGTGTTGGATTACAACTCTTACCACTCAATGGCTGTTCCAAATGGCAGTGAGGTAGACCCAATATATTTGGAACACATCAGGTTGAGAAAGCATGGCATAAAGGATCTCATGTTACAGAGCTGGAAAGCCCTGAAAAACCAGGAGATAGTTCTCGGTAAAATAGGTTACTACTCTGATTTAGTCTGACCCAGACCTATATATCCTCTAACCCATATTGAAGTGTCCTATGAAGTCTGGCCAATATAGTAAGAGACCAAAACTTTGGCAATCCTGCTGAAGTTACAGGAGTTCTTCTATCATTAGATGGAGTAAAAGGTAAGCAGTGGAAAAGGGAAGGAAGGAAGGAAGGAAGGAAGGAAGGAAGGAAGGAAGGAAGGAAGGAAGGAAGGA